TTTTATTCAAATGAAGATCAAATATATCTATGTTGAAATATGCTAAAAGTTTTTTAAAAATGTCAGTAGTATTTATTTTTTCACATAACTGTACATGTTCCCTTCTTCCCACTCCATGTTTTTTATCTATTAACCTTGGCCATATTATATAGTAAGTTAATGATATTGACCAATAAACAAATTATTTGATCTGCCCTGACAATGAGGATGTCAATAGGGCTAAAGAAATAAATGAGAATAGGGCAAAATTAAATTTGATACCAATATATTGTAGCAAATAGTAATCCCACTGACTTGTACAAACATTATGAACCACATTGTGTGAGAAACTTCAAGAAATAACCCATAATTGTGAAAATTTTGTCAGTTTTTTCAGGGTGGGAATTATTTTACACCAAGATCAAAACATTTCCCAAATAATCAAGATAATAATTTAGAGTTGAAATGGAATGCTCTGTACAAGGTATACTTGAAACTGTTCAAAACCAATGCAATCTGCACATCTATGTTCCCTATATATTTAATAAATACATCTTCTCTGACATAAAATGTTCATAGAGTCATTTGATTCAGATCTAAGTCTTTGTGGAATATATCCAACTCTGAGTTCTCAAGTTATATAAGTCCTCCTGGTATATTGTATCTCTCATGTTTTGTTGCTGAACTTTGCATTGACAATATTTGATCTTTGTTATAAATTTAGTTGTTTCCAAACTATGAGAAAACTTTTTATTGAAAAGGTAACAAACATGTCTTGTGGCACTTATATTCACTGTGTTCACTGAAGCATATGTCCTTGCAGTAAAGGCTAAGTTTAATTATTTTTTTCTTTTCCTACACATCATCTATTTTTATATAGAATTAAAATCCTTAGGACATTTGGTTAAATACAGCACATCTAACATTACATTTTTGATATTGTCTATGTACCTGAAGAAAAATGTTATTAAGTTCTTCAGCATATACCTGAAACTCTTCTCACCATATATTACCATTCCAAAAGACATCTGCACCTTAATATTTCCTGTCAACAGAACCATGTTCTCCAGTCCACATAATGTTTTACCATTTATTTCAGTGAATATCATCCATAACAATCCATTTGTCATCATGAGACTGAAGAAAATTGTGCTGCATCTCAAAGTGGTATATATTCAAAAGGGTTACCATTTAATAAATGTATTCATGCAGGTTTTAAAGCAGAGTGAATGTCAACACCTTAGGTATGAAACTGAAAGCCACCAACTTTGTACATCAAAACCCATGTTGCCTCTTGCTTTCTGTGGATTTCATTCCTTCTAATTTTGCTTTTCAGTGTAAGATGACAAATTAGATTTGCTCTCTTCCTTCTTCCCTCAGCTTTCTCTCTTTTCTTTCTTTTCTCTCTTCTCTCACCTCTTTTCTTCTCCTTTGTCCCTTGTCCCTTTTCTTCTCCCCTTCCCTTCCCATCCTCCCCTCTTCCTTCTTCCCATTCCTTCTTTTTTCTTCCCTTCCCTTCCCTGATCCAGACAGGTCTGTCAAATGTAATGCATTTTCTAGAATTTTGGTAGACAGTGAAATGACCAGTCATCCCTGCTTTTCCCAGTGCATTTGTTAAACGAATGTACAGATCATTAAGTGGAGCTTGGGGATGGGGAAAACCCTTGAGGCCTAGTGTAGGCACAAGTGCACCTGCTTCAGAACTCTCAAGGCCTCCCCTACTCCAAGATATGCCATGCTCCGCTACCTACTCCTTGAGTGCCTCACATGCTAGCCCACCGCATAGCTGACTTTCTTGTGAGAAACAATGGGGAAGGATACACTGGGCATGCCTGCCTTTCCTAACTTTCCCCAGTCCTTCCTCCTGCCAAGGTGTCCCAACTTTTTGGGCAAAAATAAAAGACCAGTTCTCTAGCTTTTCAGAGCTTTCTGCACCAATGAGCTGGCATTAGGAGGCAGGAAAGCTTACCTAACTCCTGCTAGAAGCAAGCCTCTGCATAAATGTCAGCAGCTTCAGGTTGAGCATCCCAAAACTTTTCCTTTGCTTTACCTCTCCCTCCCTCTCCCAGAAACAAAAAAAGCTGGGAGGAACAGACTTATTGATCTCTCACCCACCCCAATTATGTGCGAAAACTAAACTTTGCTTTCCAGTCTCCATCCCTTTTAAAAACCTTATCTCTAGGCTGAAGAATAGGGCAATGAAGCAAGCAAGGAAAAAAAAATTATGCAGCCTTTTCCCTTGAAGTGGAGAAAAAAATGTTAATCTCCAAAACTAGAGACTAGAGACTTGTACAACAAAATGAAGGATGCTGGGTCTCTGCAAGCTTTAGATGTCCTTCTGACTGCTAGGACTTAGAGGCTAGATTGTAACTTCCTCTATAGGCAGTCAAACAGCAAAACTTGCAAAGCTTTTATGCAGGGGGCAGCTTCCCAAAGCCTAGCAAGCCTCCCAGTGGCCAGCTGATCAGCGCAGAAAACTCTGAAAGGAACCACCATTCCACAAGGTTTTGTTGGGACTCCAGAAATGGTGACTGCTTTCAGGAGGCATGGGAAGCAGGCCTGAGCACTGTGGGCCCTGTCAGGAGATGATGGGTGAGAAGAGAGGCAGGGACACTACTGCATCCCAGTGGTCTGTCGTAAGGATATGGCAGATATCTTAACTTTGAAACATGGTTCTAAGTAATTTTTGGGGTGTCGGTCGTAACATCGTTAAGTGGCCTGTCATTTCTCAAGGACTACCTTTATTGTAACATGATAAGTTGAATGGGATACAATTGGAGGAATGTTTAATTACCAAAGCCATTATCTACACTACCAGGCATAGCCCCAGTTTGATTTCTACAACCTGAAGCTGAAGTGGTTCCCATCTTCAAAAAAGGAGAAAAAAAAACAGACCCAGGAAACTACAGGCCAATCAGCCTAGCATCAATACCTGAGAAGATACTGGAAAAGATAATCAAAAAAACATGTAGAAACAAATAAAGTTATAATTAAAAGCCAGCATGGTTTTGTTAAAAACAGATCATGCCAAACCAATCTTATTTCATTCTTTGACAAAGTAACGAAATTAGTAGACCAACGAAATGCTCTGGACATAGTATACTTAGATTTCAGCAAGGCATTTGACAAAAGTAGACCACAACCTACTTCTTGGTAAGCTAGAAAAATGTGGGATAGACGTCATCACCACCAGATGGATTTGTAACTGGCTGACATACTCAACAAGTAACCATACTCAACAAGTAGTCTTTAATGGTATTACATCTACATGCAGTAAAGTAAGCAGTGGGATAACACGAGGTTCCGTCTTAGGCCCAATACTCTTCAATATCTCCATAAATGAATTAGATGAGGGAATAGAAGAGAAACTCATCAAATTTGCAGATGACACTAAGCTGGCAGGAATAACCAACACCCCAGAAGACAAGCTCGGGATCCAAAAAGATATTGACAGACTTCAACAATGAGTCCTATCCAATAACGTGTAATTTAATGTGGAGAAATGTAGTACTGCTTTATGTGGAGAAAAGTAGTACCACTTTATAAAGCCTTAGTAAGGCCTCATCTAGAATATTGCATCAAGTTTTGGTCACCACATTAAAAAAAAGATGTTGCGATTTTAGAGAAATGCAAAGAAGAGCAACTAAGATGATTAAAGGCCTGGAGACTAAAACATATGAAGAATGGCTGCAGAATTTGGGTTTGGCTAGTTAGAGGGAAAAAAGGACTGGGGGTGGGACATGATGGCAGTATTCCGGTATTTGAGAGGCTGCCAAAGCACTAGAGGGCAAGACAAGAAACAATGGATGGAAACTAATCAAGAAGAGAAGCAACCTGGAATTATGGAGAAACTTCTTAACAGGAGGACAATTAACCAGTGGAACAGCTTGCCTTCAGAAGTTGTGGGTGCTTCATCACGGGGTTTTTTAAAGAAGGGACTGGACAGTCACTTGTCTAAAATAGGCTCCTGACAAAGCTTCTCTTTAATTTGGTGGGAGACTGAATTCTGCCTGGAGAGCAGATACTTGCATTAACAATTCAGGCAGAATGGGTACCCACAAGCATTTGTTATTAGATGTCTGCGCAACATGATGGGGAGAGAAAGGAAGAAACAAGGTACAAAACCAATTACATGGCACACCCTGGCATACATCAAAAATATTTCAGAAACAGTAGGACGCAGCTTCCAAGATCTGCAAGTGGGCATCGCACACCGCCCAGAGGCTACCATACAACGACCAATTATGCATTGCAAAGATCGCTTGGAGGTGGGAGATATTTCCAATATAATCTACTGGATCACCTGCATGGAGTGCCCCTGTGATTATGTAGGACAGATTGCAAAACACAAGCTGTAAGATGAGGAAATGTGAACTCATTAGTAGCCTCACATTGCAGTGTACAAGGACAGACATTCAATTTTGCAGCTACCAAGACTGTTGGATGTTCAGGCTGATCAGGCACAAAAACAGCCAGTGAAGTGATTGAAGCCTGGGAAACAAGTCCCTCCTCAGTCAACAGGAGTGCTGATTTACCATCAGCTTATCAAGTACTTAAGAGGTGAGGGCTTGGCAGCACATGGAAATATGTAATAGCCTGCCATCAACATTCCAATCAGCTACTAAAAAGCCTGACACAACCAGGCACCATATAACGGAATATTACACAGAATAGGACACACAGAGAATAGCCCAAAGCACACACTCTGCTAGAGAGGAATTCCCGGAAGATCGGCTCCAGCATGAGTCTGAAAGATTGGAAGAAGTAAACCTCTGGTCTTGGTGACCGACCCAGACTGGTTTCTTTAACATTATCCTGGGACATGTATATTTGCCTTCATTTGTAATATAAAACATGACTGTGAGAAAGTAATTTCTGTAATTGCTTGCCTGTAATATAGATTGATCTTAATAATTTGTATAAATATTCATATTGATAAATTGAAAATGAAAAGAATGTGGAAAAATGAAATTGGAGTTTCCATGTAACTAATTCATTTTGTTTTATGTTTGTTTATCTTTTTGTGTGTAGGACTACAAAGAAGCCATCAATCTAATGCCAAACAACAGAGATAATGGTCTAATTCCTGGAAACGACAAATTTAAGCCAGTGTTACCCTGGCCTCATGTTGAAGGGGTGGAAGTAGACTTGGAATCAATTCGACGAAGGAATAAGGCCAAAAATGAGAGATTTCCTCATGCTGGTGGAAAGAATGATCAGCAAAATATTATGCAGAGACAGTATCTTACTTTTAAGCCACAGACACATATCCACCATGACCCTGTATTGCGACCTGGAATTCTTGGTAATTTTGAACCCAAAGAACCTGAATCCCATGGAGTTATAGGTGGTCCTGGTGAGGAAGCCAAGCCATTTGTTTTAGGACCAGAATATAAAGAATCTATTCAAGCCAGCATTAAAGAATTTGGGTTCAACATGGTAGCAAGTGATATGATCTCATTAGATCGGAGCATTAATGATTTACGTCAAGAAGAGTAAGTTTTAGTTCTGTCTCTATTTTATACTTATTCAAGAGTAATATAATTTCAGTAAAACTGATGACACCATTCTTATATTGTATTTACTGTGATAAAAATGTAAGAGTTTTTGCAAGGCATCCTCCCCCTCCCAAAAAAAATAGAAAAAAATAGAGAACTAAATATTTCCTACCACTTCTACTAATAATAATGATGATTTTTAAAACTAGTACGCTCCTGGCTCTTTTTTTTTTAATTTTTTTAATTAATTTTAAAATACCCCCCCCCCATACAAATACAAATATAAGCATACATTAACATAACAACTTCAGTAACAACTCGGCAGCCCCCCCTCCCCGCGTCTGCCCTCTTTTCTCCTCTCCTCCCTACACATTCCACCTCCTTCCCTCTCCTCCTCCTTCGGACACGTTTTAGGGGCGCTAGCCGAGCATCAGCTCGGCAGCACCCCCTCCCCGCATCCGCCCTCTTTCTTACTACCTACCTACTTCCCTCCTATCTCTCCTCTCCTCTCTCCTCCTCCCACCCTTTGGACACGGTTTGGAGGTGCTAGCCGAGCACTCAAAATTCTCTATTTTTCCATACATCAATACTAATTTAATACACATTTCTACTTCTCACCATACATCAAAACTCCTAATTATTTTATTTCTATTTCTACCCTCCCTCCCACCCCCACCCCCAATCCCCCCCAGACTTCCCAGAACTGATTACAGGATTAAATAAACATCATCCCCAATCTAAATATAACTATCCACATATAAAACAATCAAATATAAACATACTTTAACTCAAATAAAAACAATCAAATATAAACATACTTTGACTCTAAGCAATATATAGGTAAAAAAAGAAAAAAATCACTTTCATACCTTCTCTAAATATAATCTATCCTCCTTCCCCAAACCAAATATCTTGAAATTAATCCTTCAAAATAAAAACAGCCAATAATCTTGCTGCTATTATTCATTTCTTAATTCAAATCTTCCACCAACCCTTACAGAATAAACTTTATGAATCTATCCTCCCGGATCTCTTCAATCTCGCGCCTCCGACCAGCTCTGAAACGGACGAGTATATTGCAAATTAAGTCCTTTTTGCTGCTCTTTCTCCTTGCATTTATATACACTCTTTAAAAATTTTTCAAATAATAAAATATTCTCTTTCATTTTTACGATAAGTTCTGATAACATATCCCCAGGTCAACAAATTATTACTCAAACATTTCTTCCATTCTTTTAAATCACATTAATAATTAAATACCTTCAGTCCTTTAAAACAGTATAAATTTCTTACAAACGTATCACCTTATTTTTATATTATTTCAAATAATGAAGTATTCTCTTTCTTTTTTTGTGACAAAATCAAGCCATTAATATTCCAAGTCAGAAGTTTTAGAAGTGTAAGACATCCAGAGCATTCCATATAATTCTGTCCTCCCGGATCTCTTCAATCTCGCCCCTCCCATCAGTTCTGAAAGGGACGAGTATGTTGCAAATTGAGTCCTTTTCGCTGCTCTTTCTCCTTACGTTTAACACTCTTTAAGCCTATAGATCATCTTTCACTTAAAAATTGTTATCTCTTACATCTGATAGCATATCCCCAGATAATTCAACAGACTGATGCATATCTTCCATTCTTTTAAATCGCGTTGTTGGTAACAAGTCAACCTTCAAAGCCGATAAGTAAAAATCCTTTGCCTTTTGAATTATATTCAATCTATAATGTATCTGAAATCTCTGCTGGTAAAAAGCCTGTATGGTTTCATGACAGGACTTCTGGAAGAATAGACAGCAACATCTCTAGGCATATTTCCCTGACATGCGACCCCTAAATTTACCGTATTTTTCGCTCTATAAGACGCACTTTTTCACCCCCAAAAGATGGGGGAAAATGTCTGTGCGTCTTATGGAGCGAATGCTGCCTCCCTTCCGCGCTGCCGCCGCCGCCGTGGCCTCC